CCCCCGCCTCCAGCGCTGGGGCCGGCGACGCGCCACGCCTGGCGCCCCCAGGGCGGAACCCTTTCGTGCACGAGCTGCGGCTGAGCGCCCTGCAGAAGGCCCAGGTGGGTTCTGCCCGCGTCGCGGCCGCGCTCGCCCGGGGATGCGCCCGGGATGCGCTGGGAGGGGCGGGGAGCCGCCGCCTCTCTCTGCAGCCGCCTCAGAGCCCGCCGGGGTCCCGCCTGCACCGGCCCCGCACCCCGGCCTGGCGCCGGTTCCCGCCAGCCGAAGGCCCGGCGGTGGGCGGGGGTCTTGGAGCGGGCACCCTCCTCGGAGCCGCTCTGCTCGGCGCAGGGGCCGACGTTGGATCCGCGTGGCCTCGTGTGCCCGAACCGTAATGATCACCTGGGACAGCGATCTGGGGCCCCTGGGGTCAGCCGGCGGGAGCTTTGCCACATCCACATCTGCAGATGGTTTCCTGGTCGCGTACTGTGTTCTGCCTGTCAGCGACGCTCCCTCGGGGCGGCTGCGCCTGAAATCAACTTTATACAACCTGGTTCCCACGTGGGAGGGACCCGGTGTGCCGCGGCTGGGCGGTGCTGCGTGTCGGGCACAGTTACCCCCTGTTCCCGTGGCTTTCGCCGTGGGGTCTGGCACGTGGGACCTGCCAGGTCTGCAGGCAGAGCGGGCGCTCCCACCCTGGGGCCAGGCCTGCAATCCTGTGGTCGCTCACGGGACCATTCTCAGAGCCGCAGTGGTGAGCGAAGTTCACAGTTTCAGACCTCTGTGGGTCCTGCGGTTTACGGGGCAGAGTAGTATTTCCACCTGCCAGGAAGCGGCTTTGGGAGGAGATTGCGTTTTTAAAATGTGCAACTTATTTGACATCACATTCAGGGGAAAAGTTTGTGAAGTCGGTTAAAGTCACTTCCCCAAGCACCCGCTTTTCCTCAGAGCCTTTGATGGGTTGGTTATCAGCCATGGGAATGCAGTGGTAAAGTCTGGAGGGGGTGAAGGCAAGGTTGCCTCACGTCAGCCACTAGGTTTTGTCACCTTCCCTGCTTATCTGCAGTCAGATAGACATGGGACCAGGCAACTGCCTGCGGGGCTCTGCTGGAGCTTCTTCTATCTCCGTGGAGCCTCACTGCCCGGGGCTGTGCCTAACCACATGGGTTAGGGCACCATCACCCCTGCACCTAACCACCCCTCCACTTCTTTCCTCAGCCTCCACCCCACAGATGTAGCCTAACTTCTTGGGGCTTCCTCCCTCCTCCTGGATCTGCTGCCTTCCTGCCCCAAGGGAGCCCTGACCCCTTGCTGTAGATTTGGAGGCCCCGTTCAAGCCCAGCCCATCTTGGTCACCTTAAACAGCAACCCCTATTATTCTTGTCCATCCCAACCTGGTTCCTCAGTACATTCCCTGCTTGTCACTGTGCCTCTACCCCATCTTGGTAGGCCCCCGCCCCTATCCTAATTACCTTACCTACCCCTTTCTGCCATACTGCCCCCTCCCCCACAGACGGTGCTGCCTCTTCTCCTCAGTCTTGGTGAACCTCCTTCGCCCTACTGAGCTAACCCCTTGGTCCTTGTGCACTCATCCCTGCCACAGTTTTAGCTTAGGACATTTCCGGGGCCAGGTCTGTGTTACCCAAAAGCGTGAGCCCATGATGCTGCCTCAGAATTGTTGGTGTGTGTGACTACTCGGGTGCCTGTAGCCTGAGGCCAAGGAACGTCTTTAACTGCCCTCAAAGTGTTCTGTGAAGTTATGCCTTCCCCCAGCCTCTGCTCTGCAGAGCCCTTGCCCTTGTGAAGTCCTTTACAGAAAATTTCTACAGTAAGTGGCCTCTCCTTCAAGTCTAGGAGTTCTGCTTCCCCTTGAGGAGGGGAGTCCCTTAAGGCCAAAGCTCCGAAACAACTTTCCCAACTCCAAGTGGAACTAAACTGTCCTGGAGGGGCTGCTGTGTAGCTTTGGATTAAGGCCACTCAGGCCACCTCCGCCCCTGGCAGGCCATCTGTCTCTTAACTACACAGTTAGCAGGCAGCTTAAGCCTGTCCCTAGACCAAAAATAACACGACAAGATCTGCACACTGGGGTCTGACGCACCTGGTGTTTCCCCATTACAGTGAGGCTTCTGGATGAAAGGCAGGACTGCAAAGGTTTGGAGCTGTCAGCTGAAGCTCTTCACAGCCTTGTGCTCATTGGTGGTTTTCATCTCTCCCGGGGTTTTGGGGTGCTTTCCATGGACTCTGATGTGAGCACTGATGGATTTTCCCAATTCTGACATTTAACCAGCTGAGTTTACTTCCTAGACATCAGAGCCAGCTCCTGCTGCAGCCAGTTGTAGGTGAGTGGCAGGCTCAGAGGAGGCCTCAATCCACAACCCAGACTAATCCCAAAGACGGTGATGGTCAGATCGAATGGCAGACAAGTTCTACCCTAACTGTACAGAGCCGTGGGTGGAATTTGCCTAACCGTTAGGCTAGCTTTTCTTCCAATGCCTGAATTATGGACTGTCCCTGTGGCCTGGCTCTCGTGGGGGTGGTGATGTCAGAGCAGAGTCCTGACAGCACATTTCCTGCTGTTCTTCCTTTGGCCCCAGCCCCTAGGTCTGCAAGCACACACAAGGACAGCAGTACCTTCCCAGTTCCTGCTGCCCACTGTGCACCTGAAGGAGATTTAGCAAGGAGCAGATCAGTATCCAGCTCCTATTGCACCCCAACACACTGCATGGGTGTAGAAGGATGAATCATGCCCCCCAAAGGGGTATTCTACGATGTTATAGTCAACAGGCCCTGGGGAAGCACTGGACAGAGGAACTCCAGGGGGGATTTGTAGAAGGGAAGAAGACTATTGGAGAAGCTGACCTGGGCTGCATAGCACCCCTCCCTTCCCAGGATGCCTAGGAGTGGGGTGGGGGCACATGCTAGGTCTGAGATCCAGGCTTTCTGGGGGAACATGACTTCTGATAGTCCACCGCTGTTGGTGCCTGTGGATCTCTGGGAGACTCAAGGTTATTTTCCTATGTCTAGCCTTTAGGGTCACTGTTAGCTGCAGCCCTGAGAGGCAGGGGAGGGCCAGAACAGAGTCCCTGTGCCACAAGTAAGGGTATGCAGGCCCAGGTCCTAAGCTGTACCTATCTCACGGTGTGGTCTGGCTCAGTGCAGACATCTGCCTGACCTTACAGGGAGTCTTTCAACCAGCCTGTAGTCTTTATAAGTTGGGTAACTGAACAGTGGGATTGGATAGTCAGGGAAAGACCTTCACTCTCATAGCCGTCTAGAAGTTGGACTTTTAGTGAATGTTATTTGTGTGTACTTCCTTAACACATACATGTACACGGTTTTGTTTCTGGAAAGTGCAGTTCTGTGCAGTAGTTAATGCACGAAGCTTGTGTTAAGCCATTGTCATTGGTTTTCATTCCAACGTCAGATTATGAGAAACAGAAGGTGACTTTGCTATTGGCCTTGCTGACTTGGTTCTAAGGTTCGTGTGTGTGTGTGCGCACACACGTGCATGCACATCTGGTGTGTGCTTTGTCTCTGGTGTGTGTACACGCTGTATGTGCATGTATGTGAGGCCAGAGGTGGACATCCGGTGTTGTCCTCAGTCACCCTTCACCTTTATATTTTGAGACAAGGCCTCTCACCAAACTTGTAGCTCTCCAGTTCAGCCAGACTGGCCGGCTAGCAAGCCTCGGGCTCTGTCTACACTTCCCTGATGCTGAGATTATTAGCACCCGCTGCCATTTCTGGCTTTTACAGGGTGCTTAGTATTGAACTCGGGTCCTTCTGCCTTTACCGGCTGAGCCATCTGCCCTTCAGTGCTGTTTTTTAAACCCCGAGGCCCTCACCTCTGCAGCCTCAGTGTGAGCAGTGGCAGCTGGTTTTTGTCCCATCACATCTGTGCTCTGCACCCTTCTGCACCCTCAGCCTGGTCCCCACACAAAGCCTAGGTAGAGTGGCACTTTCCTTAGCACAGATGTGATGTCACACTTGAGAGCCTCCTCACCCTGGCCCCGGCTGCATCTCCCAGAGCCCAGTCAGGCACACACATTTGCAGGTGAAAACGTGATTCTGGCCTCTTACCTAGGGCTGATCTTGAGATTGCTGTGATGCCAGGGTCCGTATCTAGGGCCTGGCTCCCTGCTGGATGCAACTGGTGCCTCAGTTTCTGCAACACTCGCTCGGGTGTCAGTGCACCAGGAGGAGCATCACCTGGCGTCTTACACTGTTTTCTTTTTTCTGCTGTAATTTTCACTCCCCTCCTGTGCAAGCCTTTTGGACTGTAACCCTTTCTGTCTGCAAGGTGTCACTGAGTCAGCTGGCCCTTGACCTTCCGCTTTCATGAGTGGCAGCAGCCGTGAAGTGGGCTCAGGAATACGTAACCTAAGGAGAACTGGAGCAGCTCTCTGAAAGTCTCCTGGGAACCCCAAGTGAACCACCACCCCTTTAGGTCTATGCCAGTTTGATGTAGACAGGCATCATTAGCAGCTCCATAGACTGGCTCACAGTAGCTTAGAACTTGCAGGATGACATGGAGCCTGAGACCGTTCGTAGGCTGTTCCTGGATGGAGCTCTCCCTCGCAGCGTCTCTCTGTACTGACTCCATCTTTATTGCGAAATTACTGTCCCTGTCCACCTGCTTTTCATTTCAGTTTCCACCAACACTGGATCGGTGTAGTTTTCTGCAGTTGAATTATCTGTTTCTCTTTTTTCCATTTCGTGTGTATGTGTATGTGGTATGTTTTGGGGGGGGGGAGGCTGCATATATACATGCATTTCAGTACTCGTGGAGGTATGTGTGTCGCGTGCCCAGGTTGATGTTGGGTGTCGTCCTCAATAGTTTGACCTTATTCAGTAAGGCAGGGTCTCTGAGTGATACCCAGAGCTCACCAGTGTGGTGAGGCTAGTGTTCTGAAGATACCATGCCCATCTTAGGAGGCTAGAATTACAGGTGAGCTGCCATGTCCACCTGGGATTTGCTTGGATTCTAGGGATGGGAAAGCCAGGCTTCATGTGCGTGTGACAAGTGTTAACCACTGAGCTGTCTCCCCAGCCCAGGTTTCTTTACTTTAAAGATGAGGGACTTTGTGCCTGAAACAGTGGCCATCTAGACCAGCTGCAGAAG